ACAAATTAAATTAGTATCAAGATATATAATTTTGGAAGCCTATATACCTTACATTTTCAAAAAAATTTATAAATCTAGATTTTTCTGAAGTTTTGAATATTCGTAATTTTTAAAATTATGGTTTTTACAAATTTTTTCTTTTTAAATATAAAACTGAAACTATAATTTAATTTTATCAAAAATTTAATTATTAGTTTTTCTTTAATTTTTGAATGTTTTGAATATTTTTTGATTTTTTTGATTTTGGATTTTTAAATTATTGTTTTTTAGAAAGCGAATGACAGTTTAAAAATTTGTGTTTTAAGCTATATAAAACCTAATTTGTAGTTCGCAACATGATTGTATAAACTTCGTGTATGTCAATATGTTTCGCATATTAGTTGGTGTAGTTTAAAACACGTTTTAATTGATACAAGTTCGGAATAACTCCAATTATAAAATCAATTTCGAGAGATTTCAAGTTTAGACTCGCGTAAGGTGGAAACGATGGTAAAGATGGAATGGTGATGGGTCGACTGACTCGCTCAATCAATAGAAGGAACAAGAATGTTGAATCATTCAAGCACTCTTAATCAGTGGAACTCTATAAACTTAAGTGAATCACACACTTAGAATCTAAAGAACAAACAAACTCAAAGAACTCAGCTTTAAAAGGAAAACAATACGTTTTATATTAAGGTATAATCGAGGGTGTCTTTACAATGAGAACGAACTGAGCTTATATATGCTCAAAAACAAAGCTATTCTAACGTTCTAAGAGCATTTCCATTGGTGAGATACTCTTAGAGTATCTCACCAATATAATACTAGTATTTTTCTTATATTTTAAGTTGAGAGATTCACTACTTAATATTACCTCCATTAATTAGATATTCAATGAGTATCTCATTAATAAAATAATAATATTTTTAATATTATTTAGTTTTAAAATTTTATGTTAAATTTTCATTAATATTTTTAGACATATCATATTAAATTTTAGAATATAATTTTTTAATTTTAAAAATCCCAGTGTTTATTAATTATTATAACATTCTATTAACTAAAAAAATGTTAATTTTATATCTTGTATTAGTTTTATGTAAATTCAATTAAAATAAATCTAAATATTTAAAAATAGAATTTTAATTTTAAAAATCTTAGTTTTTAATAGTATGTTATTTTATAAACTAAAAAAATATTAATTTTCCTATTAACCTAATAGTATATTAACTAAAAATAATGTTAATATATAATTTATATTTATGGACAATAGAGCTTGATATGTAGATAATTTTATTTTACGATTTATAAAACAAATAAAAAATGATAATAACAACATATAAACTATTTAATTAATATTCTAAATTATGAAGAATATGATTTATATATAAAAAATGAGAACCAATTAAAAAATGACAAGTGTCATTTTTTTTAGAAGAGAACGAGTCTCTCATGGGTCTTTCAAATTAGAGACTCTCATATAGGTATCTAGACAAATTTTATAAAAAAAAATAAATATTTATTTTTAATTTTGATTTAGTTTTAATGTTGGTCTCTCAATGAGAGACCCACAAAATGGAGATGCTCTGATACTC